CCATTCCCTGGAGAAGGATGTCATGCTTGGTAGGGTGGAGGGTCTGCGAAAGAGGGGGAGGCCTTCAACGAGATGGATTGACACGGTGGCTGCGATGATGGGCTCAAGTATAGCAGGGATTATGGGGCTGGCGCGGGATCGGGCAGTGTTTCGTTCTGCTGTGCATGGGGTCGCTATGAGTCGGAAATGACCCGACGACACTTAACAACAACAACACGCTACAACTCAGGACCAGGATCTACTTGGAAATAACAGGATGAACTTCATCAGTCAGGACACCTTTCAACTAGGACAGTTCTCAGCTCCTTCTCAGCCATGCCTGCTCGCAGCCCTCCTCTCAGCCCTGCCAGCCAGTGGTCCCTTGCTCAGGTGTTGGGCCTCATTGGGCTTCCCTGGGCCTGGCCTCTGGCCTGCTGAAGCTGGTGTTACAGCTAGTTTGGCTCTGCCCTGAAAGCACTCAGCTCGCTCACTCTCCGTGGGCCAGCAAGAACTCACCTCAGCCATCTGCCAGTCCTGTGGGTCCCACCACTCACACTGCTACTGCCATCTCTCAACATCTTTAGTGTTACAGCTCTTGAGCCGTATTACAACTTCTAGGAGGCTCCCTCTCTCTCCCATTGCTTCTCCCTATCTCTGTCAGGTGGGCTGCTTCTATACACAGCAAACTCTTAATCAATTTCAAGGCATGGCCCTCTCAGCCAGGCCAGAAACAGGCCAGTTCCCACAAGGTCACTTAATCCTTATTGAGTGGTTTTACAAATTCTATTTGCATAGTAAACTGACCGATCCCTGCAAGATGTGTAAAATAGACTAAACACGGGGCAGGCTTCAGCCTAACCAATTATTTTTGGCAGAACTATAAGCCTAAGGCCAGAAAGTCCATATATGAAGAGAAGCTGTTGCATTGCAGTGGTTTGGCCTTGAGGCTCAGCTCACATTGCCCATGTCTTCATCTGGACTGGGCAGTGACAACCAGGGTGTGAGTTTGCTGCCTGTAAAGGTCTCCACTCTATGCACATGCTTCAGAAGAAAATTCTGCTTTCCTTGAGCCCAAGATAGTGTCCTTCACTTGTCTAATACATCTTTCTTTCTCATCTCAGCCCTCATGCTGATGAATGCTAAATGCAAAGTTTGCTGTTGGTGTTCTTATTGTAAAATTAGCACAGATGTAGAAAAACAATGTAAGTCAAATGTGTGACTTCATGAATTGTAAAGGAGCACTGTGCAGATCAGGAGAAAGAATGTGGCAGCCACCCCTGGGCCCTCCCTCCCACCAAGAGTGACTTACCTTGGCTCTTAGATTAGTAGCTTCTGTGTGCTGTCACCCAGAGATACACCTCTAGGCACTACAGGGCCGTCTTGCCCACTTTTATTGCTTTTAGACATGACTTTCAGATATGGTGGGTAAAAGGAGAAAAACCTCAAGAAATGTTTCTTTCTAAAAGCAAGAGAAAGGATCAATGGGGCTTACCCAACAGGATAGATAAAGAGATGTGGCTTTCCTCAATGTGCATTTTAGGTTTCAAGAACAGGGGAGGGCGTGGTTAGGGAGTGTAGCCTTGCTTAAGGAGCATTCCATTCCTGTGCCTTGTTTGTGAAGAAGCCACTCTGAGTTGTTCAGTGTTTGGTAAATGTGGTTGCTGACACAGACATAACAGGGCATTTACTTGGTTTTGCATCAGTCTAGGAGGTTCTCAGCTCAGGGACACAAGGTACAAAGGACACACTCAGCTCCTAGATCTTCTTTCTGGGCGGTACTGGGGTCCCTCCGTCTCTACCTTTTATCTCTTGCAAAATAAAAGGTGATACCAGCCACACCCCATGGGAACTGTCTTACAGAGGATCAGGGCTGTGACCTGGTGTCCCACCCTAATCCACTGACAAGTGATTGGCTAGTCACATTGGGGTGGTTACATCATCACATAACTGCAAGTTGTGGCCTAGCCAAGTTGACACATGCTTTTGGGGAACATAATTCAATCCATGATACTCTCTCAGATTGTTGCCAATTAATGGGAGACATTTTGAAGATAAACCAGGGAGATAACATCCCTTGGCAGCAGCTGCATTCTTATGATTAAACATCTGGTGTGTGTCCTTCCCCTTGTACAAGGTCACCTGCACTGTCTGTATTCTGTTACATACTTTTCTTGAAACTGACTCTCAAATATAAGCATGTTTTAGAACAAAACTTGCCATAAGCAGAAGGTACCTACGTTAGTAGAGACACTTAAAAATAAACCAGAATTATTCTAGTTGGTACTTAGCCTGACTTTCTTTGTTAAAACCAGCAAAGAGATTAGCCCTGTTACTCTTCCTGGACCTGAGTGGACCAGGATTAGCTCTGGGCCAGTTATCTGGCTCTTGCAGCCACTCAGTGTTGTTATCTGTGCAATGGCTGTGACCACAGCAGGCCATTGTAAGGATGGCTTACACCAGGTGCTAGGGATGGCCCGGTACATAGAAAGTACTTGCTGATACCAAGTCCTTGTAGTTCTCATGGCTGTCACCCAAACTGGCCTCCAGTGTGGTGTCTGAAGTTGCCTCCTGGCCCACTTGGTACCTGTGCCAGCCCAGTGGGACACTGAATTAGACCAAAGATTGGAAAGCTGGCAAGAAAGGCAAGCCTGACGCCCTCCTCACTTCTCTGCATCTTCTTCCTCCTGAGTAGCCTTCTGCTCTGCCTAAGTGGGAAGAGGTGAGGGACGTCTTGCATGCTCCTGGCCTGCCGCAGCTGCCTGGCAGGTTGTGAGTCTGCTGTGCGGTTCTGACTCCTTTTGTGGGAAGCACTTAGAAAATACCATCAGCATGGGGCTGCCCTGGGCTGATGGAGGGTCAGATGACGAAGGTGGAGGCATGTGGACAGGGTCTCTGGGCAGCCCAGAAGAGGAGTGACGGCTGCTTGCACCTGTAGCCTCTGCTTGACAGCGTCTTCGGGATGCTGACTGCAGTTCCTCAGTGAGGGTTTGTGGGTGAAGTGAGCCCGTATGTGTGCCTGGCTCGTAGAAACGCTGGTACTGTTCCTCTTGTGTTAGGGTGTGATCATCCTCTGCTCCACAGATTTGTGTGTCAGTAGAAGATAATCTCTTTAACTTTGTGTTTTGATAGATTTTCACACTCACCAGAAGTTGCAAAAATAGTCCAGAGTTCTGTGTATCTGATCATTTCTCTCTTTTTTTTTTTAATATTTGTCTTGTTACCTAAATAACTGGTGCTGATTCTTTGGCCTGTCTTCTTCACTCTTAGCTAGTGGAGCATGGGGGAGATTGAAGGAACATACAGAGTCCTGCAGACCCCAGGAACACGGCTGGGAGCCCAGATCCCCACCGGGGTGAGCACCCTGGAGCCCGGGCAGAGTCTGTCAGTGGCGATGGCGCGAGCCCCTGCCCGGGTGCAGGAGAAGCACCTCCACATCAGGGTGAAGCTGCTTGACAGCACCGTGGAGACGTTTGATGTTGAGGTAAGAAGACTCAGGTGAACCCTAAGCTGTATGCGCCAGCTGTGAATGATTCTAGAGAATTCAAACCTTTGTGGTTGTTGTGTTTCTGTTGTTATGGAAAACACTTAGAAATGTAAAATAACAGGAATGTCTAAGAACTTTAAGTGTCCCGGAAGCATGCCTTCTTATATTTCCTAAAGATCAAGTATTCTGTATGAAATTCCATCTTGCTGGTTCAGCTTTGCAGATTTATCAGGTTAACCAACTCAAGCTCTGGTGACAGTAAAATCCCTGCAAACAGTGACATCCAGATTTCTCCTTATTGGTTAGAAAACGGTAAGTCTTCTGTCTTTAAAATTCAGGTAACAATTTTGGTACATCCATTCTTCATCTCTTTTCAGAGGTGGCTTTAGTTGTGCTGATAAATACAGATTCTGCAGCCAGGTTGACTGTGAGCAGGTCTTTCTGGCTTAGCCAGCTAGCTACCTGAGTGGGTGAGACAGCTCATAGCCTGTGTGTGTGTCAGCTTCCTACTCTATGCATGGAGGTGATTGTAAGCCCCCTCAGGGCATGAGGATTAACCCAACAACAGAAGAGAGCCTGGCATGAAATGCACGCTGTGTATTGTGAATGTGTAATTTATTGTCAAGGTTGGCAATAATACAAGCTTCATCTCAAAAATTCTCCAATAATAGATTGTACTGATCACATTGGCAAAAAATAGGTATATATCTATGTGTGTGTATGTATAGATACATCCATGTATATATTGTCCCTTAAGTAGCACTGTTTACTTCTTGAAACTCCCGTGATACATTGGAATACACCTTTCTGTTTTGCTAAAAGGGATTAGAATGAATGTTCTTTTTAAACAATTACTTGTTCGTTTTCACCTGTGATGTGCATGTCCATTCTCTTTTCCTAATATTTCATGTTGTTAAGTAGCATCTTTAGAAGCTTTTCTTGTTCTTTACTTAATTCTGTGAAAGTAACAACCAGGGAAGGAACTGCAGTGTTGTAGGAGGCTTCTGTGCTCTGGCATTTCTGTTGAGAAGTCAGGATGGTGCACAGGAAATGAAAATTGGTGGTACTCTGAGCAGCACTGTGGTGAAACCTAAAGCTGAGCTCCCTGGCACTAGGGCCCTGATGCTGCTTGGGGGCCCACAACAAGCTGGAGGGAGCTGTCTGGACGCATCTTCCAGCATGGAGCCCAGAACTCACCAGCCTCCTGTCAGGCTCTGGAGTGGGGTGTGTGTGTGAATGTGTACACAAGTATGTGCGTATGCATGTGTGTGTATGTATATTTATCTGTACATGGGAATGAGTGTATTTTGATAGTGACCGATGCCTAGATTCATAGTGTTAGAACTTAAGAGACCTTGAGTACTTTTCTTTAAGGCCTTATTTGAGGAGGAAATAAAATATCATTTCATTAGGGCAGTGGTAATTGAAACTGGTAGGACCTGTCTATCCAACTTCCTACAGTCCCTCTTGTGTTGTAAAAGCAGACACAGCGTTTGCAGAGAAGGTGGTGTGAGACAAGGCAGCCTTTGAACCTGCAAAGTCAGTGATCTCTGACAGATGAGTCACCTGGAGGAGATGGATTAAAGGCCTGGGAATCCACTGAGCTGCAAATGTCCACACGAGCTTCTGCCATGGAGCCACCTATGATAAATGCATTTGCTATGGTGTGAGTGTATTACAGGTTACAATATTGTTCTTATTGTTTGATTATGCCACCTAAATTTTGGGAGCTCTGGTGGCATGGTGCCTAAGGCATTTGACTGCTAACCAGAAAGCTGGCAGGTCAAACCCACCAGCCACTCCTTGGAAGGAAGATTGGGCAATCTACTTCCATAGTGATACTACCTTGGAAACCTAAGGAGGGGTCACTATAACTTTAAAAGAACCATTTATTTATTTATTTGTTCCTACTTAATGATCTTTATCAACTGAAACTGGTACCAAAAAGAAACACAGGTTTATTTCAGTCATAAGTAAGATATCTTCCCTCTCTGCGAAACTCACTTCTGCTGACGATCTAAGTCATTTTATTCTTCAGGAAATTAGAGAGAGCATTTTGTGAAGGCTTCAAAATATTTTGTTGTTGTTGTTATGTGCCGTCGAGTCGGCCCCGACTCATAGCGACCCCTCCTTAGGTTTCCGAGGCAGTATCACTACGGAAGTAGATTGCCCAACCTTCCTTCCGAGGAGTGGCTGGTGGGTTTGAACCACCAGCCTTCTGGTTAGCAGTCAAGTGCTTTAGCCACTATGCTACCAGACCTTTTCAAAGATTATATAAGTCAAATTTATTATTTCTACTAATCAAATATACCCATCATGTTTGTTTTTGTGATATACCTGGCAGAGTTACCAGAAATTAAAGAATTTCATTTAAAAACCAGTGATATATGTATATATACAAAGGCACACTTACTTCAAGGAAATGACTCACCCAATTATGGGGGCTGGCAAGACCCAAATCCATGGGTCAGGCCATAGATTCTGCAGGCTTACGTCCCAAGATCCAGATGCCAGGTGACAAGAAGAGAGAAGGAACATGAGCGAGCTCTGCCAGAATATCCACCTATGTTCTTGAGGCAGACCACATGTCCAGGGAAACTCCTCTTTCAACTAATTGGCTGACCACATCATGGAAAGTCATTACATTATATTATATTACTTTACGGAACACTGAGCCTGGCAAAGTTGACACATGAAATTAGCCATCACAGTCTATCCCTTGTCAGCTTCACACCTATATACATCTCATCTCCATAAATCATACATAATCTCCAGTATAGACACTTATAAAGTTATACTTCTACCTAATGCATTAACCCCTTTTACATCTGATATTTTATAGTAATTAATGGGATGAGGAGAAGCTGTAGTGGTACCATGGTTAAAGTTCTCAGCTGCTAACCACAAGGTCAGTGGTTCAAACCCACCAGCCTCTCTACTTAAGTAAGATGTGGCAGTCTGCGTCTTTAAAGATTTCTAGCCTCAGAAACCCTACAAGGCAGTTCTCCTTTGTCCTATAGGGTTGCTATGACTAGAAAGGAATAGCTGGTTATCTGCTTCTAAAATAAGTGACCAGTGAAACCTTGTGAATAGGAGCAGAACGTTGTCTGATACAGTGCTGGAAGATGAGCCCTCAGGTTGGCAGGCACTCAGAATACAAGTGGGGAGGAGCTGGCTCCTCAGAGTACAGTCCACCTTGATGACGCGGATGGAGCTTTTGAGACCTTCATTTGCTGATGTGGCGTAACTCAAAATGATAAGAAACAGATGCAGACACTGTGGAATGCACAAAGTATGAATCTAGGAAAATTGGACATTGTCAGAAATGAAATGGAACTCATAAAGATCGATACCCTAGGCATTAGCAAGCTGAAATGGACTGGTATTGAATCAGGCAATCATATAGTCTACTATGCTGGGAGTGACAAATTGAAGATGAATGACATATATTCATTGTCAAAAAGAACGTTTCAAGGTCTGTCCTGAAGTACAACACTGTCAGTGACAGGATAATATCCATATACCTACAAGGAAGACCAGTTAATAGGCCTGTTACTGAAATTTATACACCAACCACTAATGCTAAAGATGAAGAAGTTGAAGATTTTTTACCAACTTCTGCATTCTAAATTGATCAAATGTGTAATCAAGATGCATTGATAATTACTGGTGATTGAATGCAAAAGTTAGAAACAAAGAAGGATTGGTAGCTAGATAACATATGGCCTTGATGATAGAAACAACACTGGAGATCGCATGATAGAATTTTGCAAGACCGATGACTTGTTCATTGCAAATACCTTTTTTAAACAACACAAACAGCAACTACACACGTGGACTTCGCCAGATGGAATACACAGGAATCAAATCTGCTACATCTGTGAAAAGAGTTGATGGAGAATCTCAGTATCATCAGTCAGAACAAGACAAAGGGGCTGACTGTGGAAGAGATCATCAATTGCTCATATACAAGTTCAAGCTGAAGCAAGTTCACAAGAGCCAAAGTACGACTTTGACCATATCCCACCTAAATTTATTTTTCTATTATTATCATTTTAAATCCCTTTGTCCATATCACACCCGCTTCTTAATTATCCATCTGTTTTCCGTCCTTTCCCTTCCCCTCCCATTCCTAGTAACCAACAAAGAAAATTTCCTTTCCTGTGTAAACCTTTCCTTCTTTTTACAGTAATGGACTTATATAATATTAGTCCTTCTATGATTGATTTATTTCACTTAGCATAATGTCCTCCCCATGTTATGAGGTGATTCACTGATTCTTCATTATTCTTTAATGTTGCATAGTATTCCATTGTGCGTATGTTAGGTTATCCATTGTTAGGTTATCCATTCACCTGTTGAAGGGCGCTTAGGATGTTTCCATTTTTTGCTGTTATAAATAGTGCTGCAGTGAACATGGTCGTGCATATATCGATTCGTAGTCTAGGTCTTGCCTCTTTAGGATATATTCCTAGTAATGGGATTGCTGGATGAAATGGTATTATTTCCAACTTTTTAAGGAAGCGCCATACTGTTTTCCATAGTGGTTGTTTCATTTTACAGTCCCCCCAGCAGTGTATGAAAGTTCCAATATGTCTACACCCTCACCAGCATTTGTTATTTCCTGTCCTGTTGTGCTTTGCTGTTATTGCTGGGGTGAGATGATATCTCATGGTTGTTTCTGTGCTAACCAAAGAGCTGGCAGTTCATTTCTACCAGCCACTCCTCAGAAGGAAAATTGGGCATTTTACTTCTGTAGCGATACCACCTCGGAAACCCAAGGCGGGGTTACTCTCAGTCGAATCGACTCGACGGCAGTGAGTTTGGGTGTTTTTGGTTTAATGGCTATTGATCATGAGCACTTCTTCATGTGTTTGTTGGCTGCCTGGATATCTTCTTTGGTGAAGTGTCTGTTCATATCTTTTCCCCATTTTTGAACTGGATTGTTTGTCTTTTTTATATTGAGGTGTTGACATTTTCTATAAATTTTAGAGAGA